AAGAGCCGTATTTTCTTTCGTGTAATACTGTAACATTATTTACATAACTATTTATGAACTTTTTTCTCTTTCACACCCTGCAGGGAAACTGTTATCTTTTTTTTTTTTTAAAGATTTTATTTATTTATTTGACAGAGAGAGAGAGAGATCATAAGTAGGCAGACAGGTAGGCAGAGAGAGAGGAGGAAGCAGCCTCCCTGCCGAGCAGAAAGCCCAATGCGGAACTCGATCCCAGGACCCTGAGATCATGACCTGAGCCGAAGGCAGAGGCTTAACCCACTGAGCCACCCAGGCGCCCCGGGAAGCTGTTATCTTAAAGAACAGAAATATCAGTCACAGAGCACAGACTTAAGCCTGGGAGGAATGTCATATGTCGTCTTGTCCATCTTCTCATTTCACAGATGAGGAAACTGAGGCCCACAGCAGTTACGTGATTTGTTTCAGCTTTCGGTGAGAGAATTGGAAGTTGGATCCAGACTAGAATTAGGAATATGTTCTTTCCACTCTTTGCAGAGTCCCACGCCTTAGCAAAAAGTTATATTCCTTTTGCTTAGTGCACGGTTTCTTGTCACAGTTCAGCTGTGTAGCTGCAATCGAGGCCTCATTAACGAAGGGTAAATAACGTGAGGGAATACCTGCCTTGATTCATCTTTGTGTGTGGCGTTTACAAATGGTAAGACATACAGTGGACTTTTAATAAGCATTGATCATGATACTCTAAAATTTCCATGGCATTCTTCCAACTCAGAAATGTTTCTGGAAAGAAGACACGACTGAGAATCTCACAACCGACTGCCAATAGTCAGCTGACACGCCGTGAGAGTGTGTGCTTTCATTTTGCTATTTAAAAACATGACAAATGAACATAAAGATACACTTAAGGACCTCAAACACTCTGAAACATTCTCTTTCATGGTGTTGTGAGAATGCTTTTGTACACATCCTGGAACTCCAGATAAGCAAAGTGATTTGAATACTCAAGAGAAAAAGGTAAATAAAATAAAAGTAAAATACTAATTCCATAGAGTGTCCGGGATCGAATTTCTTTCTTGATGAGATCTCTGGACTGACCGTGCACTGAGCCATTGTTAACCAGGGTGCAAGCTGTTCTTCCATCTCTGCTACGTACAATATCTTGTCATTATGATGACACAGACTATCACTATACAAATATCAGCATGAAACTAGAGAAGACTTTGGGAGAGTTCATGGCTTTTACGGCAATCCACAGCAAGTGATGCTGTCTTGACAAAATATAAAATTACCTCCAACTCTGAGCCGAAGCTCGAGGAGAGCAGCAAACAAGCCTTGTAGTATTGTTTTAGATGAAGCACAGTGATAGCTCTGTGCTTCCTTCAGGCCTCCTCTTTCTTCCTGAACGAACTCCAGGGAATGGCATCATGTCAGGCTTTCCAGATGGATTATGTGAAGCCATAGCTCAATGTCATTTTCAATAGGAAGCCTCATAATTAAAGGTCAAATAGTCACTTCATCTGCAATCAATCAATAGAAAAAGTACTAATACGAAGAACTAATCAATCAATGGCAAATGCACTAATAAAAGCAATGAATCAAATTTAGCATCTGTGTAGATGCAAGTATACTGGAGAGATGGAGACAGGGCAAAAACAAGAACAATAAAATAAACTGAAGCGTGTGTATAAGAGAATATTCAGAAGGCTTCTCAAGCGAGAGTTTTCATCTTTGGTTCATTAGTTACCTGGGTACCACTTGGCCTACAATGATTTATTCTTAAATACAAATACAAATACTGTATATAAGACTGAATGGTATTTCTTAAGGCTTACTTAATGTATTCTATCGGAGGTGTTACATGTGTTTATTGTGTGCGTACAAAATCGCTAAAAGAAATATTTTGATAGTGATCTCAAGAAGGGATAGATGCTTTTTCTAAATGCCAAATAGATATATTATAATCCATTGTATTTCATCATTGTGTGAGAAGTGAGAGATAGTATAACTCTGAGTGATATGATCTGAAATACGTTCCCTGCTTTCTGGAATCGGATGTTCTTTCATTTCCATGCAGACAAGAGTCCCCTTAGGGTAATTACTGGCCTGTAGCTCAGGCGACTATCATGGCACATCCTCTATACCAGTGATGTCAGGTCACCAGGAGAGGGGAGCAAGCAATGCATTTTGTGGAAATGGATGCAGTGAAATTATAGGGCTTACCAAGTCCATTCTAGCAATGTTGAGCCGAACTCCCCTTGCTACAGGAAGTAAGGGCGCTGCTGGAACAAGAACTATCCATGGCGCCTCACTGAGATAAGCAGCAAAGAGGTCATACTTATAAATGCTACCTGGGAGCCTGCAGGAAGGAAGCCAGGTATGATCAAGGCATGATAGACTAGTCAGGTTGGAAGTAAAATTCTCGAAACTAAGAGCTAAGGAAACCGAAGCCTGGGGATGTCTCAGTGGAAGAGTGAGGACAAGTATTTCAGTCTTGCAATTCTAAGAGTGCTCAAGGCTATCATGTTATGGAAGTAACAAAGGATTTAGACTGTATGGTTACTTAGCTACCACGCTAGTATCTTACTGGAGGATCTAAGGACCTACTTCAGGGGAGAATGCTGCAGAAATAAAGTACATACGCAGACAAAAGTCAAGTTAACTCAGCCCTTTTTAGCAAAACAGCTACTTCTGATGGGTGTTCAGCGCACCCGTTTACCTGAAAATCAGGTTTCAGAAAGCATCAAGAACAGAAGAACATCGCTTTGAGATTACAAAAAATGAAAAGACAAACAAGTAAAGGATCTGATGGGTAGGTGTTTTACTTATAGAAGAGGAAAGAACACTGATGCTGCTGCAGTACGCTTCTTGGGTTGAGCTCTTTGCTTCCCACGGCCAGCTCCGGCAGAGAAGAACATTGTAGAGAGACAAAACATCCATTTGTTTTCGGAAAGCAAACCCTTCGGAGCGTGTGGGGCCTAAAGCCCACGCAGCAACGCGGGAGCATACATATTTGGTGCCACCGTGCTCAGCATCTCCGCTGAGGACATGGGCTCATTGGATCCCTGGCTCTGGACATCTGAGGCATCAGGCAGCTCTTGCCTCTGGATGCCCTACCTTTATAACAGCGCCTTACATTTTAGGAGACCTGGAGCACGTGCCATCACAGCACAGTAACAGCATGGGGGGCGGGGGGAGTGCAAGATGACTTCTTTGAAGTCAAAAATTAAACCACACCTATTACATGAAAATCCAGAGGACAAGGGGTCAGGGGACTGGACCCCAGAAATGGTAACACAGTTGTAAGTAATAGAGTTAATAATAACTGATAACAACAGCTAGGTGGGTTACAGAATTTAGTCCGTAGCAGTCTACACACAGTGCAATGACTGCACACGTTCTGCCGTGTACTGACTACCTATTACGTGTAAGTATTGTGCTAGGTACTTAACACATTTTGTTTTTTATCTTAATAAACTTCGTAAAGTGAGGATTATGCTGCCCCATTTTACAGATGAGAAAGCTAAGATTCAGGGGAGGTGAAGTGATTTGTCCAGAGTCACAAAGTCAGGATTGAAATGTGGATTCCAAAGCTCTCTCAATTTCAGTTTGATGATACTATGAAGAAAGCCTAATGGAAATACTACAAGGTAGATATTCAGTACAGTTAACCCTTGAACAACATGGATTGGAACTACATGAGTCCGCTTATACATGGATCTTTTATTTGATCAACCCTGTACAGGACTGTAAATGTGTTTTCTCTTCCTTATGATTTTCTTTATAACATTTTCTTTTCTCTAACTGACTTTATTATAAGAACAAGGTATATACATGTAACATACAAAATATGTGTTAGTTGACTGTTACCAGTGAGGTTTCTCATCAACAGTAGGCTATTGATAGTAAAGTTTCTGGGGAGTCAAAAAGTTATACATGGATTTTTGACTCTGCGGGGGGGTGCTTCCCCTAAGGCCCCCCCCCCGCATTATTCAAGGGTCAGCCGTTTATCATTTATTCAAATAAGATGGAGGCCTAGATAGCAAGTGCTCCTTAAAGAGTTTGTCCAATTTTGAAATCATTGTCCAAATTTGGCAGGACTGACAATAGATTCTATAAACAAATATGCTCAGGGTTAGTAAAAACATCATGAAACGTTTTCTAGCTTACAGACTGGACTTCTTTAACATGAACAGATAGAGCAATGTCATGATTTTTCATTCTCTTAAGTCTCATGCCAAAATGTAAAGAAATTTTTAAAGTGAGTTTTTACCACAATGTGTCTACTACCCCAAGGAGTTTGTGAATGATAAATATTTCCAGAAGGTTCCTGATTTCTTAATGACTTTTAATGACTAAAAAGATGGATTCAGATGTCTGGACAGGTTATCGGGATAATGCCACTACACAGGATAAAACTTAGTAGAAAACAGCAGTTTTCTTCTTGATCTATTTTTGTCCATTAAATACACAGATATTTCAGTTTAGGTGCTAATCAGACTGAATTAATGATAGCCATATTGTGTTTCTTATTGAAATAACATTCTGAAATGAATTTTCATGTCAATATCACATTAGAGTAACAGTTTCTCTACCCTTCTCCAAGCTTCCAAAAAATAAGTTAATATTTCCAGGGGCAACTTTAGAGCCTTCCAAAACCCAGTTTTTGCCCATTCCTTTTCAGAAGTTCCTCACCCTTCCACATCCCTGCCACTGCTTCCCCCCAGCTTGTAATGTTCACATACTACAATGAAACTCTTTTATGAGAACCACAAACATAATTACAAATTAAGCTAAATCCTACACTATTAAATTTAGGCCTTCAAAAATTGGTTCAATCAAATAATGGTATTTAAAAGGAATGACCCATCCTCACCTCACAGATAAAGAACCTTTTGTTCTTTATCTAACAGAGTGATTGATACTCCACTCCATTTAATTTGAAGAGCTGCTTAAATTTCAAAATCGTAAGATATAACTGTCTGAGGATAATATGCAGTTGGTCTTTAATTCTGTGAATCACTTACCCAGTGTGAGGGATTTGTGCGTAGAACAGAAAATGATCGCCACAGTGTCTGCTGGTGTGAAACCCGAATTATTCCTACGGGCAAAAAGAGTGTTTTACAAATACTTATATAAAAAGCCTACTTAACACATCCTAAATCAAATGTTGTACCTACCTTCATGTTAACATCCTTTTGATCAATCCTGGTGACAGAAGTAATCCTATGCCCAAATGTAGAGAAGTGTCTGAATTTCTTTTTAGAGAATCATTCCTGAGTCATTTATCCATGAAGAAAAAGTCTTAAAAATGTGTGGTGGACACCACTTCTCCCCCCTTCTCATCCCCCATTTTTAACCTCTGGCAACCACCAAGCCATTCAAAAAAATTCATTTCAAAACATTCTGTGTGTGGAAGGATATGTAACCTTTTGGGGCCAGCTTTTTCCCCTCGGCATTATTCCCTGGACATGCATCCAAGTTGCTGTGTGTACCAATAGTTTATTCCTTTTATTGCTAAATAGCATTCCGTGATATGCATGTACTGTAATTTGTTTAACCATTCACCTATGGAAGGACAGCAGCACTGTATCTAGATATTGGTTATTAAAAATAAAGTTGCTCTAACAAATGTGTGGTGGAGGTCTCTGGAGATCACATAATCAGGCTGTGATGTAGGGCTTTGCAAAATCATGCAGTGAGGACCTGTGTTAGCAAAGTCACTAGGCTATCACTTGCTATTAATTCCAGCAGCCAGAAAGAGTTAACGGATCTCCGTAATTGCTTCTCTCAAGAAGCAGCATAAAGAAGCAGCATACCTCTCTGGCAGCAAACACACCCTTTCCAGGAATACCTGGTATGCGCAAAGATTTAGCATCATGTGTTTCAGTAAAAATTACAAGTTTTCATTCCTTGAGCAGTTACTGTGTATCAGATACTCCTCTAAGGCCTGTAACATTTGAAGACAACTAACCCATAAGGTCGGTGATATAATACCCCTATGTACAGATGAGAAAACTGAGGCACAGAGAAGTTGTGTCACTTATCCAGGGCCCCAGAGCTAGAGAGTGACAGAGCCAGGATTTAAATCAAGTATAGCTTCTGTGCCTATGCTCTTAACTGCTATGTTCTACTACTGTTATGTAATATATTAAGCATTTAAAAAAAAAAAATCTCACTTAGCCAAAATCCATTAAATGTTACGGGGGTCAGTCCTGGTGAATTTCACATTCAGATTTTCTATTTTAGAATAAAAAGATTTAGAGAACCAGGAGCCAAAGGGTTAGAAATGTTGTTGTTAGTGTACTTGAGATATGTTAGAAACTATTCCTTCCTGCAGAATCAGGATTTGAAGGTATAGTAAGTCTGTTCATTCCTTGACCTGAGTTAGCAAATGGAAAATGCTCCAGAACCCGACTCTATGTATACAATTGTGGATATAACAAGCAATCCAATTTTTAGGATCTCTAAAGAAAGTGATCCCATCACTTTCCTTAGTAACCTCATCCTCACATATAACTTTCATTAGAAGAAAAATCTTCCCTAAACAGATACACACATCCTGTTTTCTTTGTTATATATACTCACTGGAGGGGAGAAGGGCTTCTTCCTTCTCCTCCTCATCCCCTGTGCTAAGAGAATATGAAAATTGTCCTTTGGTGTTCTTTCCTCTTAAAAGTCATGTGTACTCATGCTTCCTAACTAGTCTGATCTGGTCTTTTTGGATAACAACTTCCCAGTTTTTGGTGTCTTACCAGAGTTGAGAATTCTCATGGATATGTGTTACTTGAGTATAATAAGATTGGCTTACTGTTCCCACATTTTATTATCATATTTATAATGTGCTGTCACTCTTCCTCTTAAACATTGAACTACACAGATGACATATTCCTTGATCCTTTTGTTCATCATGTAGGCATATATATACATATATATATGTAAATGATTGAGAAAGAGAGAAAAAGAGTGGGTGGGAGGGTTATGGCACCAAAGAAAAGGATTATCTCAAGCTTGGCAGAGAATGGGGGATAATGATGGAGCACACAGAGAACCTTCTTGAAAGAAATAACCATTGAGCTGGGCTTTAAAGGACAGGTTTAGACATGGGTGGGTGTGTATTTCAGCTAAGGGGAAAGTGAGACTGAAATCTGGGGGCCAAAGGGGCAGTTGGCAAAGAACAGACTCCAGGCTGACTTGAGTGCAGGGACACTGGCTTGTGACCAGGAGTGTGGACTTGACAAGATGGGCTACAGATGCTGGGAGGAATAACCACCCAGTGTGGTGCAAGAAAGACTGGCGATGATGAGGCCACACAGGAAGCGGAAAGCTGTAAGGGCCTGAGGAATCACAGAGAGGCAGCGATGCTGGTAAGAGACATGAAGACAGAATTACAAGAACTTGTCAACTGTTGACGTCACTCTGTGAAATATTCCTTCCCAGCAGTTTACGAGCACAGGCTTTGGGGGAAGACCCACCTGAATTTCAATCCAGACCATTCTTTCGCTTATATAGAAAATGGGGATAATACTGCTGGCCTCTTAGGGGTCATTGTGAGGATAAACGCCAGTGTTTGTTAAGAAGTTGGCACACTGCAAGTGTTTAACTCAAGCTAGCTGATCTTTTTATTGTTACTGTTACTTTGAGAGAGGAGAAAGAATTAAAGAGAAATGAGAAGCTTCCAGCACACAGGCTTAAGAGGAGCACTAGGGTGTTAATGGAAATAGGGAAGGGAAGAGGCGGTCCAATGGGGTCTGGGCAGGAGGCCAAGGAGCGAACAGAATTTGTATTAGAGGGCACCGTTTTTTCAAGAAATTTGGTAAAGAGAAGAAAAAGGTCATGGGAATCTGAACATGACCATGCAGAGAGAGTGAAGACCCAGTGGGTAGAAACAACTGATGAAACCAGGTCCTTAGAGAGGTCCCAGAGGCGCAGGCTGTGGGATTAGCCTGAGAGGGCTTATTTCCTTCCAGAAGAAGACAGGGTGAATGAAAAATACGGAAAATTTCCAGGTAGAGAATGGGAAAGGAGAGGCAATTTATGTCAGAGATTTTACTTGCTTTTTTTTTTTTTAAGTTTTTTTTTTTTTTTTTTTTTAAGATTTTATTTATCTATTTGACAGAGGTCACAAGTAGGCAGAGAGGCAGGCAGAGAGAGAGGAAGGGAAGCAGGCTCCCCGCTGAGCAGAGAGCCCAATGTGGGGCTTGATCCCAGGACCCTGGGATCATGATCTGAGCCAAAGGCAGAGGCTTAACCCACTGAGCCACCCAGGAGCTCCTTTTTTTAAGATTTTATCTATTTATTTGAGAGAGATCACAAGTAGGCAGAGAGGCGGGGGGCGGGGGGAAGCAGGCTCCCTGCTGAACAGAGAGCCCGATGCGGGGCTCAATTCCAGGACCCTGAGATCATGACCTGAGCCAAAAGCAGAGGTTTAACGCACTGAGCCACCGGCGCCCTGAGATTTTACTTGCTTTGTATGGCATGAGGCACTTTGCTCATCCAGAGTTTGAGGTAAGGCTGAAGCCGGGGACCCAAGAAATCAGGAAAACTTGCAAGAGGCAGATAGGGGAGTAGGAAACAGAGTCAGTTCACAGTGACTAAACCCCTTCTGCAGGAATGAAGGCCCACCTGTGCTTGGTGTTGGTGACACTACAAAGGCCCTTGTTTATAACCCACTGTTGCCGCCTCTGGATTATGCAGTTGCTTCGTTCCAAGAGAGTCCAGCAATACACTTGTCCTTTAGAGAACTTCGCTCTGCTTGCTACCGTGCTCGCTTCCAGGTCATAGTGCATTTCCAGTGTGTCAAAATCTCTCTGGGGGGGAAGGCTCTGATTTAATCTGGCGTGGGCAGTCACGGATTACAGTGCGGCTGGGGAGGGTATCTGCAAGACCTGCTCCCTTGTCCCATTTCAGGCAAGGTGGCTGAAACTAGGCCTGTGCAGGGAAATTTCCAGCCCGATCTGAGTTGGAACCCTGCCCTACAGGGCTACTGACACAGGGTCCGACGGTGGGGAGGGAGTATCCGCCCATAAAAATGGATCGCTTGAGGTTAAAAACAATATTTTCCCTAAACACTCCATCAGTAGAGAAACAACCTGCCCCCCACCCCGGGCCACGGGGAAAGCCAACAGAGCAAATGCTCACCGAAGCCTCCATCCATGTCGAGGAGGAGCAGGAAACACTGAGCCTTCTTCTAGGCACCCTACTCCCAGTATTTCCTTCTTCTTGGAATAGCCTTAGGTACTACCACTGCCTGCCTTTTCTGGAAAGGGAACTTGAAGGACAAGGGCAAACAGTTTCTCTAAAGTCACACATCGCCAGTCAGGAGGCTGCCCCGAACTGGAGACGAGGCTGCTTTCTGAGAAGGAAATCAAGAAAACAGAAACACCACCACACACTTTGGTGGATGAGCGCGGCCACCTCAATCAGTAACCTTCCTTCGGCCACGGTCTGTCAAGAGGCGGCCAAGGGCAGCAAGTCAGGACAAGCCCCAGAAAGAGGAAGCATCCTGTGCATTTTATTTAAGTGGTTATGACTATAATTATTTTCAGTGATTAACGTCTCTATTGTGTCTGCTCATGCTCTTGAAAGGAATCACATTACTATTTATCTTCTAACTCTACCTTATCTCTTTTTAATATTGATTTTCTTTTTATCCTGTTTTTATAATTCTTTTGATCACTTTGGCTTCCCTTGAGATGTTTATTTCCTTTTCCTCCCAACTGGTCTTTTTATGCTCTTTTACAAAGCTTTCAATCAGTGTTTTCCACATAATATTTATCTTGCCTTTCTCTGCAGTACTCACAAAGGAAAACATGTCAGAAGGTTTTACTAGTAGAATCACAGAATGTAGAGCAGAAAAGGTCCTCTGAGAGAGCTCTGTCTAAGCCCACGGTTTTTAGAGGAGGAAACGTCCATGTGAAATACTTTCTTTTGTTAACCTCTGTACCTGTGTTTTGTCCTTATGTAATTTTAGGAGAAGCCCTCATCCGTCATTAGCTGTATGCCACTGAACAAGTTACCCAGAGTTCTGTGGCTTAGTTGCCTCATGTCTGAAATGGTAAGACTTACCATTAATACTAATACCTGCCTTCCTCCTACCCTCCTTTGCTCCCCCCCCACCTCCCTCCTTCCCTCCCAGGGCTATAGTGAGCGGCCGATTGAGACACCCGATTAAAAATGTACTGAGATAGGGATGAAAACACCTATACAAATATTCAAAATTTGTTTTCTTCTTTTTCCCTTTCCTAGTAGTTTCTTTTGTCATTCCAGTGATACTCTGGGTTTCTATTATTCCAGTTATCAGCTTTCCAAATTGTCTTTTATGTATTTTTTAAAGCTCACAATTACTGCTTTCTTTTTCTAACCTTTTCAACATTTTATGTTAACTCTGACAGCTTCCCCAGGTTGCAGACTATGGACCGGGTACTATGGATAGGTGACTCTCAGTTTGATGAATCAACTCTCGTCTCCTAGCATCTGTGACAGTGTAACATCAAAGAGAATGTACTACAAAGCTAGAAATGCTAATTTCTTCTCTTCCATCATTAGTTTGTGCAATAATATAGCTAAATTGTTTTGGTATAATATTTGACAGTTACTAACATTTATTGAGCACTTAGTATATGCTAGGTGTTGTGATGAGGGCTTTATGTGCATATTATTCAGTTCACCAAATGACTCTATGAGGTAGGTCCTACTACTATGTCCATTTTAGTAATGAGGTATGACAAAAGTCACAAAGTTATTAAGTAGGATTGAAACTTATATCTGTCTGACTCTAGACTTGGAATTTTTAACCCTGACATTATTCTGCTGACAAATAAGAATGCAGAATAGTAACTCTCAAATATGTTTTAAATACTCAAAGTCATAGTTCACATGTTAGACACCAGAAAGCTAACACATCAGGTCAGTAAATCTAAGAAATGTTAACTAGGTAGGAGGAGTGTTGTAGGAAAGTTGAATTTTCTTGGCTGGGTCTCTCCTGCTTTATGCTAAACTTCCATCATCAGGGGTCAGTGGCATACTGTATATAAAAAAAGAAAGACTGATTTCCATGCTGAGATTTTTGTATCAATATCTGGACTGGTTATGGATTTAGCTAATCGGTAAAAAAGAGAGAGAGAGAGAGAGAGAGCGAGAGAGAAAATACAGACCAATTTCACTAATTTTAAATAGAAAGAAACAAAAAGTAGAAAGAGAAAATGAAACTCAACAGAGTATATAAACCAGAGGGTCCTAGTTCACACTCTTGGTGTCTTTGACTAATTTGCTTGTGTGAGTAAACTTGAAGCATCCAGTTAAATACTCTCTACAGATTCCCTAACCAAAACAAGCATTTAAGAATTTTAAAAGTAATTGAAATAGTTTAGTGCAGTGGAAAAAGTGTGGGCAAATGTCAAATGGAAATGGATTTCAATTCTACACATACTCTTTGCCATCTATTATTAAACTACTAGACTCTGATTTTAGGAGAGCTATTAAACCAAACTACTCTAAGTATGGGTCCTCATCAGCAAAACAGCAACAAGAATGTATCGTATCCTAGTCTTTGCTGTCAGACTTTCATGAAAGAACGTACATATGGTCCCTTGCACAGTGCCTGCCGTAGAGCAGGGCTCAGTAAACACTGGTATCTTTTATTACTCCAATAAAATCCTTAGGCACAAATGAGGTCTCTCATAGTGAAAAACAAAAAACAAAAATACACCCATCTTCTGAATTTTATTCAATTCAAAAACCCCTGGTTTTTAATGGACCAATGTGGGAGGAGCACAGTGATAGCCATTCCTTAGTCTGCTGTTTATTAAAGAAGGCGCATATTTGACGGCTGAACAAGTTCCAAGGCAATAGAACTTCACAGAATAATAGGGTCTTAAGATCTCAAGGCCTTAGGGAAATCCAGTCTCCTCCACACTGAAAACTCTCACTTTCCATTCAACCAGTGGGGACACCATCTCCGCCCCAGCCCTCCTTCAGCCATTCCAGCAGCGGCTCTTTTGTGCTTTTCAGCATGTTTTCAGCCACAGACAGGACACCTGCCTCCTACCCAGTCTGAGAGGACAGGACGAGTGGCTCTACTTCTGCCACAAGGACCAGCACACAAACAGCTGGGGAAAGGCAAACATCTTTTCTAGGGTGACATAACAGACCATTTACGAAGAGAACTTTAAAATAGCTCTGACTCCTACACTACCCAATTAAGTCACATTTTCTCCATGTCTTAATGGCTCCAGGCTTTACTCTTCCTTTATAAATCAGAACCATAAGCTAGGGAAAATGGTTCCGATTACACCAATCAATAAATTTTTATTGACTGTTTATAATCAGCCTCTTGCAATGCTGAGTGCCATAAGAGCCAAGTGCCCAATGCAAGGGCTGAGCCCAATGCTGCTCTGCCACTGTATCAGATCTCAAGAACAACCCGGGCTCCGGGCGGTCTGGGCAGTCAGTCAGTTAACGGTTCTTCTCTTGGTTTTAGCTCAGGTCACGATCTCTCCGTCCTGAGATCCAGCCCCGCATCAGGGTCTGTGCTAAACGTGAAGCCTGCTTCAGATTCTCTTTCTCCCTCTGCCCCTGCCCCCTTGCTCCCGTGTGCATGTGCACACACACTCTCTCTCTCCAAAAACAAACAAACAAACAACAAACCGAATAAAAAAAAAACCCAGGCCATTTCCCTCGTGGCAACTCACTACCATCACCCAGCAATCTGGCCTAAGCCTGCCTTTCTAGTTACTGTTATTATTTTTTAATCTTTCTCTACTCCTATTGTCCCACTCTGTGTGTGTGTGTGTGTGTCCCACATTTGCAGTATTTTTCCCTCCACCAAGAAGCTTCTCTCTGCATCTTGTTTTGCTGGTTTGCTGAATAATTAGCCATTCTTTATAATTCATGTCAAATCCCATCTCTTCCATGAAGCCTGGCTCTACTACTCTTTCTGGAAGTGCTTTCTTCTTTGAATTGACTATAGGTTGGCTCCCTGTCCACTGAGAGGACTCTTAGTTATCAGACATATATCTAGTCTATAAACTCATGCAAGGTCAGAATCATCTCTTCTTTGTGGTACTCACTGTGGTAACTTCCTCGTACTGAAGGCTTAAGTATTATCTGTTGAATGTACGATCTGGTAGAAGAAGGTGTATTAGAGGTGAGCCTTTAAGAATAGGAAAGGCGAACTAGGGCATAGAGACCAATTTAATGAGGACAGCCTAAGCAAGTAGCAGAAATGAGAATGCATGAGGTTCCTCCAGGGAACAGCAAAGATTTTACCTCAACCTGAAGTTTAGACAGGCTCAATGCTAGTAGTAGTTCACTTAGCCCCCCAAAGTGAACTTCATTCTACAGGTCCTGGAACCACTGAAGATCTCTGATAAGAGCTATTATGACGCTATTATGATAAGAGACTATTATGAGAACTTTGAGTTATTGGAAGCAGTATGAAATACATAAGAGAAATTCATTTTAGAAATGAAGATACTTATAAGATAGCTACTACAATAGTCCAGGGAAAAAAGAGGCAACAAGAGCCCGAATTAGGGAAGTGGCTTTGAGAGCTCAAAAAAATTACAAAGGTATTTTTAAAATATTTTAAAATATTTTTTAAAAATTTAAAAAGTAATGATGCAAAGGATTCTAGTCTGAGTAACTCTGTGGATGGTGATCCCACTAACAATAAAGAAATGAGAGAGAAAGAGGCAGTACTGGGGAAAAAATTTAATTTCATCTGGAGACTGATGTCTTCTGAAGACCGGTGAAGATATCTAAATGGTTAGTGATAAATAGTGCTGGAACTCAGGAAAAAACATTGGAATGCAAGGTCTCGGCATGAAAATTAACAGCAGGAAGCTGACAGCTCGAGCCAGCAGAATGGAGGAGGCCACCTAAGCACACAATGTGAGCAGGTGACACAGGGCCACGGACAAACCCTTCAGGATGTCTACAACCCGAGGGTGGCAGGAGGAAGAGGAATGATCAGGAGACGAGAGAAACACTAGATTAGCACAGTGGCACAGATGCCAAGTAAATAGCACGATCTGTCATTTAAAAAACTAACAACCACAAAAGATACAATATCACTTACCTTGTTGAAAAGAGGAAGGTTAAAAGCATAAAACTCAGCTGGATAGAAAATACTGAAAAAAAAAAGATTGAATCTAAATTAGGGGTATAAAAATATCTGTAGCGTATTTACCATACGCTTAGTTTAATCTGCAACTTAGGAACTCAAGTAGAAAAACAAACACAAATTGCTAAACTGGTAGAATCATCAAAGTTAGTGGGACTAAATTCGTTCTTATGGAAGATATCCCCAGGCATCATCTATGATGTCTACTACTCTGCAAATCTAAAACCCTCCTTGATTTGAGACTTGGTTACTTAATTTGTTCAATTTAGAAAGAGCTGGTTTATGCTGTGGGTATTTATAGTAAATTACATAACTGCAGTGGCATATAATATATATTTTGGAATAACTCATTTTGATTTTTAATAAGAAAAGATTCTTAGGTATCCTTATAATTACAAAGTTGTCTTTGCTATTACAGGATAAACAGAACAAAAAGTTGATTTCTGATCCTTGCAATTACTTGCATTTCATAGTTTGCCGCTTCTTAAAATGAACTGGTATTACCTTGGGTATAGTTTAGTAGAAAAGATGATGTAAATGTCCACATTTTAACTAACTCAGTCAACTATTATACTTAGAAAATGACAGTATTAAGTAAATAAATCCTACTTTTAACTCACAATAAAGGGTAAGATTAGCTCAACGTTACAGTAAAATAAATTGGCAGAAAGTATTCAATCTAACATTTGAATGTGACAGATCCCATGGCTTCTTTCATCTGGCATCAACTACTATAAATCAAACATAAAAAACAAAGGACATTAAATCATAAATACGTAACTGATGTCTTCTTAAAGAACAGACACACAGGATAAAGTCACTGAGCACATATAAGATGAAGCTTGGTATTATTTTCTAATGAAATTAACATTCAAAATGAGTTTGGGGAACACAATTCACAATTTCCTCCACTTTGCTCCTGAGGAGACGGAAGGGATAGCAAAAATGTTCCATCTTCCAACTTACTTATGAACAGGATGAGAATAAGGCTGAATTTATCCAGGTCAATATTTGGGTTCGAGAACGTGTCACAGAAGGTGGTGTAGATGATCATGAGGAGCACACTGCTGCTGATAGCACCAAAAGGCGGCTTCTTTCTTTCAAGCCAATCCCTGATGTATCTTCGGACAATCTGCAATACAGAGATCAACAGGTTGCCTTTTTTCAAAGATGTAGGGAGTTGAGTTGGGCATCGCAAAGTGATTCTGACAGCAGAAAGACATAAAGGAAAGAGAATAATTTGGATGATGGCCACAGTGGATTTCAAAGCTTCCGTGCCACACCACTCTTCTTCTGGGGGATTTCGCATTTGTAGTGCAACTTCCACTGGTGTCCATAATGAGAGTAGATTTTCAACTGCATTCAAATCCATCCTTAATCATGCCAAATGCTCTTTGCTAGCTGTCACTGAGACATGCCCATTAAGCCTCCCCAAAGTTTATCTCCTCTGCTGATCCTAATGGATGTGTGTAATTATCATAGTCCCCTTTGCCTCAACAGACAATTCCAAGTGCAACTTTGGGAATCTTAAAAATCTGACATCTTCAAGAATTTCAAGACAGTAGGTAATCGAAAGTGATCCATGGAACATATTAATATTTAAAATGCAAGCAATGCACCAGAAGTTTTTAATTAAATTATAACTCATGCTTGAAAAGCAAAAGTGCATGTGTTGTGGGAGTTTAAATAATTCAAACTCTGAATATCTAGAGTTTTTGTGAATCCAAAGACAAATGTCATTTGCATGCTTTTAGAATTCCAGAATTAATACTTAAAAATGAATAAACCTGTCCTAACTCTCCTACAAAAGGATGAGTGAATAAAGTTACATAGCAATCCTCTCTTCTTTAAAAAACAAATCAGATATTTAAAATCAGGACAGGCTGAATATTGGTGATAACTTTTGCTTAGATATAAAAGTGAACCACTCTACTTAAAACCTTATACTTTTGAGAGAAGCTGAACAAACCCTGTAATAAGGACTATAGTTGAGACATATTAAGTTTCAAGTCACTCATTCTTCTGCATAATTGAACATGAGATTTCACAACAGGCTGAATTACCATGATCCATTAGCAATAATGAGGTCACGGAACTTCTCCTGACAAGGCTGATGGGGTTCTGTCATTTTCTACTCTGTGGCTAAAAACGTTTAATTCACAATAGAACATACCTTCACAGATACTCAAAAATAAAGTAAACTACTCTCAAGAGAACCTCTGAACAAATGGCTATTAGATCAACCTCATCCATTCTCAAGAACTCAGTAAATGAAATACCAGTTTAATAAAGGAAATTCTAGCAGAAAGCTGACCAGTTGGTACGAAGTACAAGAACAACACCTCGAAGGCTGGGTGGGCTGGGAATGAAAGAGAAACAGCGTTTTGTTTTTTAATTTAATTTATCTTAATTTTTTCTCAGTGCTCCAAAATTCATTGTTTATGCACCACACCCAGTGCTCCATGCAATATGTGCCCTCCTTAATACCCACCACCAGGCTCACCCAACCCCCCACCCCCACCCCTCCAAAACCCTCATTTTGTTTCTCAGAGTCCACAGTCTCTCATGGTTTGTCTCCCCCTCCGACTTGCTGAATGAAATAAGTTAAGCAGAGAGAGTCAATTACACATGGTTTCACTTACTTGTGGAGTATAAGGAATAACATGGAGGATATTGGGAGATGGAGAGGAGAAATGAGTTAGGGGGAATCAGAGGGGGAAAAACAGTGTTTTTTATATATGTAGACAAATAGTGGTTAAAGATTTTAAAAAAATTAGATCTTGTAACTAAAATTACATTGAATTTATAAAAAAATCTTGTGATTTTTCTTTTTGTAGATGTGATCCCAAACCATAGTAATTTAGTTCTAGTGTTCATTTCTTTCCTTAAGGTTAAAATGAACTAGGGGATAGGGACACCTGGCTGGCTCAGCTGGTAGAGCATGGAACTCATGACCTCAGGGTTATGAGTTCAAACCCCACATTGGGCATAGAGATTACTTAAGAAAACTGTAGTAAGGTAGAGAGAAGTTAAGAGCAGTTCTGCCACACAATGTTAATGGGCTGATACATTTGAACACAAATTTTGGATAATAGTGCTTGAGGTACCCAGATGGCCCCATGTTCAAATATACCCCTGTGGGGGTAAGCTCTTGCTAAAAGGCTAACAGAGAGACTTCATTTAAGAGGTTATTTCATATCTATTATATTTGGTAGCATGAAACTAGTAGTTGCCCAAATTTAATACAACTCAGCTCCTTTAGGAAACAAAATAAACGGAAATTACACAGAGTTATTGAAATTGATGCTGTCCTCCAATCTTGTTTCAATATACAATGATTAAAGACACAAAAGTCCTCTCTCTGCAATAGGTTATAGAAGGTACGATCCCAATTCCCAAAGCAGAAGTGTCTTCTACCACCACTGACCCCACTGACAAAATAAACAAGATAAATATGAATGAGGCATAACCTGGAAGTCAAAGCCGTTTTAAAAACCAAGACAAATCTCTAATCATCAATCGACTTTATAAGCTGCAATTTGACTTAGTTAACCTAATTACCTCTTTCTTCAATACCAAGTACTCCGAGTCTCACAGTACAGTAGGACTCTTTCAATATGGCAGGAAATACCGGACTCCTAAGTCCTGCATCCTCTTAGCCAAAATGCCTGTCTTCTAAACACATCAATGTTAATGCTGGATACTTAATCTCAATAAAGAAAACAACTACAAAGTTGGAAATCGGACAGACCCACAAGTTAAGCAATAACCCTAGGTGAAAACAGATAGTCTTTCACTGTTTTTAGTCTTGTAGTGATATTTGTCTGTGTTTTCTAAGCAAACCATTTTATAGGTTTGCCAGGCTCCATAGAGCTTTTCTACCTGCCTAAAATTAAATTCACAAAGCGGCTGCTTTTTGTAACCGTGTACTGAGAAAAGTGTTAAAATCTCTCCTGAACTACTGGGAGAAGTAACATTGATATGCCTTAAAGATATGCTTTGGATATAAACATCAGAAAACCCCATCTTCTCTTTGTTCAGCCACTTATACTTCCGATACAATCATTCTCCATTTATCAAGAATCTATGTCATTTTAAAATTCTCCAAATTTCTTTGCCTTGTAGAAACACGTAATAACTTTCTAGGAAACAAGACTTTGCTGAGATAGCAACCCAACCTGATATAGCTGCCTCAGAATTCCCTCTTCGGGGGGCGGGGGGAGAAAGTCAGGATGAGGTGAGAAAAGGCTTTTTTTTTTTAAAGATTTTTATTTATTTATTTGACAGAGAGAGAGAGAGAGATCACAAGTAGGCAGAGAGGCAGGCAGAGAGAGGGGGAAGCAGGCTCCCAGTTGAGCAGAGAGCCCGATGTAAGGCTTGATCCCAGGACCCTGAGATCATGACCTGAGCCAAAGGCAGACGCTTAACCCCCTGAGCCACCCAGGGGCCCTGGGAAAAGGCATCTTGATAAGGTGGACAGTTGTAGCTTTCTTCAGGATCCATACTAATTCATTTGCACTCAGAGCTCACAGAAACTTAGGAATTCAACATTAGATGACAAATCCTCATTGACTTGCTGTTCCCCAAGAACTGGGAAGGAAAAACCTCTTCCTCAGGAAACTTTATCGTCTCACTTTCTTCATTTCGATTTTCTCTATTTTACATTAAACACAGGAGAGCTTAAAGGGAAACTTAGATTTGAATGCCAGTACTTTTAATAAGCTGAGCCACATATCAATTATTATATGACCTCCAAGCTGGAAATCTGAGAAAATATGTCTTAGGTGAGGAATGTTTATATACTGAGATAACTGAGACGTGTAATATCCATCATTTTAGTTTTCTCCAATTTTTTTCTGGGGCATTTTCTTGCTTTTCTCCCTTCTACTCTGCCTTTATATTTATAAATTGATTTTTGAGTGGAAATATGTGATAGATAGTTCTTCATATTAAGTCTGAGTTTTAAAGATTTATTTTTCTTCAAGGTGACTTGAGATTGTTTCTTCAAGTTTTATCCTCTATTCCACTGAATCTATACATTTACGTAAAGTGGTTTGCTTTTTCTTCAATCGTCTGTTGAAATGTATAGCCAGGGATACAAAATCAAATCCAATGTATATAACACTTTTCTTTAAAAATATTTTATTAAAAATTGAGTAGATTCAAAATAATATCTAAAAAGTATAAACTGTCAAAGTATACGGGATATAGTAAACACCCATCATCTACTTAAGTATTATTTACATTGTCTCATGAGAAGTTGTGCAGATATTAGACTGCTCAGTTTACTTGAAAACAGAGGCAAGAGAGTCTGAAAAACTGGCATAAAATGTTAAAAAGTCATTGGGAGGAGGGTGTATGAGCAAGGAATATGACCTCAACCTCCTGAGGGAGGGAACAGAGCTTCATGGTTAAAGGTATGTACTTTGGAGCTTCTTTCTTTGTGGTCTTGGGCAAATCCTTAACTTTCCTTGCCTCATCTGTAAAATGGATCCAGTAGTAGTGGTAGTGAGGATTAAGTTATTAAATAAATGTAAAATGCTTTAGAACAAGGGCCTATACCTAGAGAATAGTGGCTATTCTTATTTCCAAGTCCTGATTTGGTGCTGTTTCTATCACACACTGTCTACCAGGATATCCTACTGCATAATGCAACAGCTTCTGTCCTCTCAGAGCAACTCAAGTGAAGCAATGAAAATAGTTCATACCTAGTATAATTTTAGAAGTGTAAAATTTTACGAGCATTAATAACATTATCTTCAGGGGTGGCTGGGTGGCTCAGAGGGTTAAGCCTCTGCCTTCGGCTCAGGTCATGATCTCTGGGTCTTCGGATCGAGCCCTGCATCGGGCTCTCTGCTCGGCGGGGAGCCTGCTTCCTCCTCTCTCTCTGCCTGCCTCTCTGCCTACTTGTGATCTCTGTCTGTCAAGTAAATGAATAAAATCTTTAAAAAAAAATAACATTATCTTCAGCTTCAGCTGAAGACTATTTAATATGAAAAGTCAACCTAAAATTTTATTAGAATAAAGGTGGGCTTTAGCATACTCTTCTGAAAAATGTTTTTCAAAGGTGGTGGAAGTTCTAGTTTGTTAACATGTATTCATAAATCTCTCAATATAATGCATGAAATAAGTAATTGTCACAAGGATTTAGATGTATCGAAGGGTTTATCAGGAAAAAAGAAATATTGCAATGACACATGTTTAATTTATTTCTAGAACTGACAGAAGACGCAATCTCTCAACCATCTATGGAAAGATGTAGCTCATAGAGTCACAGCATCTTTGAGCTAGAAGATAACTCCTGTTCTACATATGAGGTAAGTGAGGGCCAGAAGTTGTGTGTACGGTCAGGCAGTGGCAGAAATCAAACCAGACTCTGAATCACACTGCAGTCAGTCAATACTGAGTCCAACCAAAAAGAAGTACTGTATGGGGAAAACACAGAAAAACAGAATAAAATTAACTCTTAGTAACACAAGTAAAAAAATTAAATAATGAAGCTTTATTATGACTAGAAGATTAAGGAAAATATTTTCACCTCTTCCTTCCTGGTCTTCTTCTTCTCCCTCTAGTTCCCATTGTTTATTTAAAAGATAATGATTAAAAAATCTCTTTTTTAAAGATATACATACAAATCTAATAGAAATATGCATCATGTGCCACCTCTAGTTACAATTGAGACATGAGACTACCTTGCCTGGGTTCCTTTCTCTGAAGTAGTACATATGAGTCCTTCTAACAAGGTCCCCAAATATCACATCACAAAGTTTTGGTGGGTCAACTAATTACAAACATATACAGAGATAAATGAGCAGAAAAGGTCCCTGGTATCATAGAGCTTATATTCTAGTTTAAGAAGATAAATAGAAAACAAAAACAACAAACAAATCAACAAGAGGAAGATCATGATCCTAAGCAGAGGTTTAAACTGGATGATATGACACTGACGATTGGGGAGCCACTGAAGCGGGGTAAGGAAAGGTCTTTCTGAGAAGGTGGACGGTGAGATGTTCCAAGCAGAAGGAACAGCTGGTGCAGTTTTTAAGGCAGGATCAGAGCTGGCATGTTTGCAAAATACAAGCAAAGTCAGTGAGACCCAGGTGCAATGGGAAAGTGGGAGAGTATTAGGGAAGAACCTAAAATTACAAGAGAGCATGAAATAATCTTGTAAGGAAGTACAGTAGGATTTCTAGGAAGTGTTTAGTGACATTTTAAATTGGCGATCATAAATTTGAAACAAGATGAGACCAATTATGTGTTTCTCTAGTAAAGCTGGAAATCTAGGTAAACTAGCTACAGATATAGTGAAAAGAAAGGCCATGTGTACCCCAATGTTCATAGCAGCAATGGCACAGTCCCCAAACTGTGGAAAGAGCCGAGATGCCCTTCAAGGGACGAATGGATAAAGAAGATGTGGTCCATATATACAATGGAGTATTATGCCTCCATCAGAAAGGATGAATACCCAACTTTTGTATCAACATGGACAGGACTAGAGGAGATTATGCTGAGTGAAATAAGTCAAGCAGAGAGAGTCAATTATCATATGGTTTCACTTACTTGTGGAGCATAAGGAATAACATGGAGGACATTAGGAGAAGGAAAGGAAACGTGAATTGGGGGACTCAGAGGGGGAGAGGAAGCATGAGACTGGGGACTCTGAGAAACAAGCAGCATTTTGGAGGGGAGATGGGTGAGGACTTAGGTGAGCCTGGTGGTGGGTATTATGGAGGGCACGTATTGCATGGAGCACTGGGTATGGTGCATAAGCAATGAACCTTGGAGCACTGAAAAAATAAAATAAAATAAAATAAACTACTGGGGGCTCCATGAGGATAAATTTGAAGTTTTTTTCAGCCAATGTTTTTATACAGTCCACATCCTACTTTTGAGTTATTTGTTAAATATATTAATCATCTCTGCTTCTCGGGAGCTCCCAGATTAATTATAATCGCTCCTGATGAATATTATGATTCAAGTACCATATGAGCACTGGCATTTAGTCTAGAATGAGGCCGTCAGAGCAGGTCCACAGCACACCAAAGGGCATCTTTATACTGAGTCTTTTTTTTTTTTTTTAAGATTTTATTTATTTATTTGACAGAGATCACAATTAGGCAGAGAGGCAGGCAGAGAAGCAGGCTCCCTGCTGAGCAGAGAGCCTGATGTGGGGTTTGATCCCAGGGATCATGACATGAGCCAAAGGCAGAGGCTTTAACCCACTGAGCCACCCAGGTGCGCCTCTGTACTGAGTCTTAAGGAAGGAATAGGAGTTTGCTGGTGGGAAAGGCCAGTACCTAACTAAAGCTGAGAGGCAGGGGCAGTGAAGGGGTGTGGCCAGGCAAGGGAGTGGTGCAGGCCTGGTGCAGAAGGAAGGGGATGGTGGGAGGTGACACGGAAGAAGCAGGGTGGGGCTAGAATGTGAGGGGTTTTGTGGGCCACACAAGGAATGGGCAAAAGGGAGCGGGGGCAGGGTGGGAGGGGAGGCTTTTTTAAGGAGAAGGACAACATTTGATTTTTTTAGGGCTTTCCTGGAGGCAGTGAAGACATTGACTAGGAATGAGGAGAGGCTCACAGAAGGGACAAGAGGTACAATAATTTAGATGAGAGGTGATGAAGTTGTGACATCCTCTCTGGCCTGTGGGTGTGGTTGCAGATGCCAGATGTGAACGACTTCTGCGGCAGAAACGGAGGCATGTAGTGATCGCCTGAACATAAGGGAGTGAGGATGTACAGAAAAAGAGGAGGCAGGTGGTTTCTGAAGGTAGAGACTGGGGGTGTGATTATTAATTCCTAAAACTAGAATACAAGAGGTGGGCAGGTAGATGCAAATATGTTTTCCTCTTTGAGAAAAGCCATTAAAGGACTTCGGTAGTGGAAGGATTTTTTAAAACCACCTATATTACTTTTTGACTACTTTTACTATGTTATAATTTATCGTAATACTTTACTACTGGGCAAGCAATGATGAACACTCTAAGAATATATTACTCTCTTGGGGTATGTATTCTTGATAACTATATATGTAACTCAGTATACATATAACCATATATATTATGTATATTATATATATATATCTTTAAATATTAGACAAAGGTATTGTTTGTCTATATGTTTGAAGCCAAACATTTATTATCAACAGAGATATCTCCAAGATCCACTAAAAAAAGAATGTGTGAGCCTCAGGTTATATAGAACTATTTTCAGAAACAAGAAAATAAGTATGGGTTTAAAGTAATAGTAACCACAGCTTAAACTGTCCAGAGCTGAGAAGGGCAGGCAGGTTCTGTTATGCCTCTATATGACAGCATTTCCCTTACTGTTCATAAAACTCATCCATTCATTCCCTCACTCACCCATTCCATACATTATTTATTGGGTGCCTATCATCTGGGTATGGTGAACAAGACAAATATGGTTCCTGTACTCATGAAGCTTATAGTCTAATGAGAGAGACAAACAGGTAAAGGCCAAGAAAGGAATCAAGGTGCTACAATAAAGACAATAAACAACCAGGGAAACATACTTCAGATAGGTGATTCAAAGAAGGTATAAATTAAAGAGTCACATGAACAATGAGTTGGGGTGGGAAGGTAGATGGGGAGGATACTTTAAACAGAAAAATTAAGTAGCAATTGGGAAAAGCCAGGGAAGTAAGAATGTAGGAAAGTGGCAAAGAGGTTAGAGAGGCAAGGGACAAAATTTAGCAGAGGACCTGTGATGTGAGCAGCACTGTAGAAGTATTTTTCCAAGTATTATTCTGTATTTAATTAAATGGTATTCTTTGAGTACCTTTAAATCATTCTCTCTTCCCCTAAATTTAGTCCATTTTCTATGTATAACATTAAAATTTAAAAACAAAATGGAGACATGTAGCAGGTGCTGTGGGGTGTCACCTGAAAGGAGGTGTTTGTTCCCACGTTGCAGGGCATGTTAGTTGTCCCAGAGATCCCCGATGAGTTCCTCTTTGGGAACTGCTACTCACACTGCAGACTCTGCCAAGGTCATACCTCTCAGGGTGAGTGGAGGGAAGCCAGTATCTAATGCCTCGTCAGTGCAAGAGTCTATTAAGACTCTGGTCTTCAGTGGGGTCAGTGCAGCTAGAAGCCTTTGCTGGAACTACATTGTCTTGTACCTTCTCCCCGTCCTACGTTTCTTACTTTCCCAAAGATGTTCATCCCAAGGGCTCTCCTCGAGGAAACTTCCTGTATGGAAACCTCTGTCTCACACTCTCTTTCCCAGAGAACCAAGCTTAAGACGGTGTGTAAATATTATATGTATATACATGTAACATGTGCACAGACATAATTTTTTTTTCTATTTAATATATCAAAGAGTTGCTTCTCATTTAGTATTTATAGGGAATTTGACAATGATGATGATAGACACTATAGGGCACTTACCTGTGTCAGGCTCTGTGATGACAAAAACTTTACATGCATCCACATTTTAATTAATCCTCACAACAACTCCTTGAGATAGGTGGTATTATTATACAATTTGGTAAATTATGAACTTGGAGATAAGAAGATCAAATGACATGCCTAAAGTCACACAGCAAATAAAAGGTAGAACTAAGAACTAGAGTCTAGTTGTTTTTTAACCAATGTTTGTGCTCTTAACCATCCTGACATACTATTTTCCTAAGACTCACTCATTTTAGTGGTACAATTCTGTGCTCCATTCCTGTGTTTTTAAATGTATGTTATAATTCAATTACATGCTTATTAACTTGCTATAAGAGGTTAAATATAAGAATTTCTCCCATTAGTCTAATTCAATAAGAATGATAGAGGAAACTAAATTTTCTAAGATCTAATTTTAAGAGCTAATAGAATTAAGTGTTTATTTTATTAATTACATGATCACAAATATGATCACGGCTGTTGAAGGGGTCTACAAAGAAGCCAGCCAGCTAGATGCTTGTTGCCAACAACAGTTATAATGCTGAGACTTTATCAGAAGGAGCAGAATAAGGAAATGATTTGCTAGGTATTTTTAAGCTAACTACATGGCTATGAAGTACAGATAATAAATTTAAAAAAATCAAGATTCTGCGCAGGCATCCCTATGTAAAGCTATCTGCAAAGCATATTGGTATTAAATAAAAAAATAAAAAGGTGGGAATATGGTGATGGATGAAACCTGGTGTTTCACAGTCTTTTATGTTTTTTTTTAAATGTCTTTTTCTCTATCTTTTCTCTCAATTGTCCTGACATTATATCAGAATTCACAATTTGACAAAAAAAAAAAAAAGGGCAGGTAAAATTGGAGATCTTACCTGTCCAATAATGAGAGGAACCACAACAGTCATAAAAAGCTGAGAAAAAATGGATGTAAAAGGCACAGAAGAGGAAGAGCCAAGCTGTAAAGCAAGAATATAAGAGGAGTTAGAATTACTTTGAATCAGTTATCCAATATTGCTGTTAATTAAATGATACAATAAATGAATTCTCTTACAGGCACCAAAAATTTGGTAGCTATATACAAAAAGCAAGTGAAGTTACTTTTTTTTTCTAAATTTAGCACCCAATAGACTAAGTGCTTTACCACTTAATTTTTATGGGAAACTACCATTGAGGAAAAATGGTAACTATGGTTTTGTAATTAACTTACATTGTTTATTATTAACTACATTTCTGACTAGTAAAGTTATTCTGTGCTTGTACTATTTATAATCATATGGCATGATATTTCCCCTATACTCATAGTTTGTGTACTCTTCTCTTTGTCCCAGCTGCAGATTCCTAAAACAAACAAGGGTATCTCTTATCATTCTATTCTCAAGATCACATTTTCATTTGTGCAAATGAAATAGTTTCTAACTTTTCTATCCTTCAAAACAAAGGCGATGAATCTCACATACCGTTAAAATGTATTCTTATACAAAATCTAGGAAATGGGAATTCCTGAAACACACATTATTTTTCAACCTAAAATTTCAATATATCTCTTCTAAATGTGTATGTTTTGACACTGCTCATAATTCCTATTTTTTCCTCCCTCTTCATTTTTTGGTTTGTTTTCACTAATGACTATAATCTCGGCCTCAGAAAGATTCTACTGCCGGGAGCACAGGTAGTGTTTGCCTATAAACACAGCTCCACGCTCATGTTCGTCTCAACCACCAAGAATTGCAGGCTTCTTATTAACTTGTTAATGGCTTTCAAAACCTCCTTCTGGTTTTCAAACCTCTTTGGACAAACAATAGCCTGCCGCATAGATGTTTATGGTTTTTATGAGTCCCTTTTGCAGTCAGCTTCTTCCAAGTCATCAATAACGATCTCCTGGGAACTTGAAACTTACTTGCACCCTTCCTCTGTAGACCAAACCTCAATTTTCATATTTACCTCAGTTTAATTAAACTTGGAAATACCTTTTGGAAGACAAACGTTGTGAAAGACTTGGAGGTAGTGGTGACCAAGGGCACTGAATGTTAAATAAAACAAATGAAATCTCTAGATAAATGAAGTCAGTAGCTCAGAATAAAATGACGTGGGATCAGCGTTTTCGCTGATTTCTAATTCCTGCATGAACTAGCTTACCAAAATCTTTTCTCCACCCTGGCGTATTCTATAAAAATTGCCCCCATCCTCAGCCCCTCCGCGCATGTGCACACGCTCAAGACGCCAAGAATGTATGTCCTCCCCATCAGGGGCTTGCCTTCACTTCCTACTAGCTTCAGCACTGACCACTGGCTGTGAATTTAACTCATAAACACTGTAGCCTCTAAACTTTTGCTCCATAACCAATATAAATGAAAGAAATGAAGAAAGACAAACAGAAAAAGTAAAACTGTGACAGAAACGTGAACGCACAGGATTCCCGGTGTGTTAAATGCTACATGGTTGTTAGATGTTTCTTTTCACGCAAAGCCAAAGTATTAAAAGCTAATAATCACGATGTATTGTAGAGCAATGATGTCTTTGAAGTGCAAGGCATTTAACAAATATATATTTCTTTCCACAAATAGTAACCCTAAGGATGCTCCTGAGGTAAGAATTAAACTTTTAAAAATGTATATTTTATGGCGAAATTGAGGGATTCGATGAATAGAAGGATAAATTTTAAAGAACAGGGTTTTAAGTTCAAAAACATCCAGCTCAATGCTCACTCCATAAGGTTCACAAGGTATGGAGAGAGGCAGTAGAATTTCAGGTGATAACCTTCAAGTAAAAGCTATCAATTCTTGCCTGGAATCTCACGGGTAATCTCACATATTTCTGTTTCCCTATCTCAACTCTACTGTTACTTAATGTGTTCTTAAAATGTTTTAATGAATAACCATATCAAGCTATATTCCCTCTATAGGCCCAACGCTTAATCCAATACCTGGGAGAAAGAGTAAATTTGCAGATAACAAAGCTGTGCACAATGAACAAATGAAGTAATTTGTAAATATAAGGTGCTAAAAAGTGCCAAACTCTTATTCAAAATCATATCCCTATTTTCTTCTGAAGTTACAAAGATACGAAACTGAAAACCTCTTTTGAAAAGGTTTTCTTTTTTTTCAAAAGAGGTTTCTTTTGAAAACCTCTTAGGGGCGCCTGGGTTGCTCAGTTGTGATTCCAGGGTCCAGGGATTGAGCCCCACATTGGGATCCCTGCTCAGTCAGGAGTCTGCTTCTCCCTCTCCCTCTGCCCCCACCCCCCACTTGTGCTCTCTCTCTCTCACAGATAAATAAAATATTGAAAAAAAATCCCTTATATTCAGGTGACGTTATACAGTCACTTAGCATTATTTTTTTTCACTAACCGTGTATCATAGCAACACAATTAATTCCAATATGCACCTAGAAACAAAGGGCCTTTAAATAAGATGAGAACCATGTGAAAAAGGATGCATGTGTGTGCACATGTGCACACGTGTGCGCATGTGTAAGAAGCTGAGTGAGGGTGGCTATATGTGTTCTCTGCCCTCAGTTCTTTTCCTTAGCTCCTTAGTTCTCCTTAGCTTCTTAAAGCTGCTCTGGAGGGGAAGACCTAAAACTGAACAGAATCCTAACTCTGCAAGAGATTTGGAGTCCCATTCAGAAGAATATGTTGCTTCTCAAACATATTCAAGCAACTCGTCAGCCAAATTTACTCTGTGATCATAGTTCTCCTACACTGGAAGGCTTGGTGGTTTAACTAGAAAGTATTGTTGAAGAGCAGTTACCCCAGAAATCAGATAGAGAGAAAAGTTAAAACATCATATATTAATTTGGGGGTTATTTTTTTTTTATTTTTTATTTTTTTAGATTTTTTTTTTTAATTTATTTATTTGACAGAGAGAGAGATCACAAGTAGGCAGAGGCAGGCAGAGAGAGAGAGAGGGGGAAGCAGGCTCCCCGCCGAGCAGAGAGCCCGATGTGGGGCTCGATCCCAGGACCCTGAGACCACTACCCAAGCAGAAGGCAGAGGCTTAACCCACTGAGCCAACCAGGCGCCCCTGGGGGTTATTTTTAATCCCAACTCTATCTAAAAGATTGCATTTGGGGATAAGAAGGTAAAGGAGAATTCATGTCAACTTTGGTTTTAAAAATTTTTATCTATTTTAACTTCTCCATCCACCACACAATAGACCAACTGCATGTTCAATTTTTAAAAGTTTTTTATTTAAATTTAATTTAGTTAACACATAGTGCATTATTAGTTTCAGGGGTAGAATTCCATGATTCATCAGTTGGGTATAACACACTGTGCTCATTACATCACGTGCCCTCCTTGATGCCCATCACCTCCCCTCTAGCAACCCTCACTTTGTTCCCTAGAATTAAGAGTCTCTTATAGTTTGCCTCTCTTTCTGTTTTTATCTTATTTTATTGGGTATTCAGTGTTCAGAAGGCTTGTGTTCCTAGAAGTGATCTCCAAAGTCCCTTTGTCTTCTAAAATACCTATGATCTCTGGACCACTCGATTAGGAATGCAGGTTAGAGGAACCCCCCACTTTGTCAGATCAGAGGCCAGAGCAAGCTGGCCAGGGATGTAATTAACAGGGTACATGAAGCCAGACTAGGTACACAGTGATGCTGGGGAGAAAATCCCATAGGATGACTCCCTTAGAAGTGGGTCTGAAAGGAAGGAAATCTCAGTTCTGATGTCTAATTTGGCATAAGTCCTTTCTTTTGAATTGACAACCAGACCTGTCGCTGTGGTCAGTGTGAAGATGCAGAGATACCCTTGGGGAAGTGCCTGACGCTATGAAGTACACCTTGGCATCCGGAAGAAAGAAGAGCGAGCATCTGGCATAGGGTAACATATGAGAACATGACCAGGAAAGTAGCAGACCGATCATTTTGTATGCAGAGCTGATTTTAACTAAAGCAGAAGGAAATATGCTACCTGGGATATTTGGTTCCTCACATTTTAATGAAGACCCTGCCAGGGTTTCTGTTGTAAAGACCAGTGTGTTTATAAGAAGCATCCATAATTTATAACTTTGGATAGAGTTGCAGGTTCGGGATAAGTATGTATCAGGCCAAGGCTCTGGGCTTCATGGAGCTACCCTGGCAGATTTAAAGGGGATAGTCTCATACTGCCAACCCGTATTATAAGATACACTGTGTTAAATGAACAATCTGGTCACTGGCTAATTTCCTTTAGGAATATGATGCTTTAAAGCACAGAACTCACAATCAGGTTTGTTTATTTGTTTTAATATCATGCTGAGAAGAAATGTTTTAGTGAAAAATATGTGGTTTAGGACCTTTATATTTAATCATTCAAATAGTTACTGGTGCCTCCTGTGAGCCAGAAGCATGTTTTAGGGATTGGGAATCCAAGAGTGAACACAACACAAAACCCCTCCTCTCCAGGAGTTGCTTTTTAAAAGTTGAGGTGTAGGGGCACTTGGGTGGCTCAGTAGGTTAAGCATCTGACTCTTGATTTCAGCTCAGGTCATGATCTCAGGGTCGTGAGACTGACCCGTTGGGCTCTATGCTGAGTGTGGAGCCTGCTTGGGGTTCTCTCTCTCCCCCTCTGCCCCTCTTCCCCCTGCTCGAGCTCTCTGTCTCATAAAAAAATTCTTTTTAAATATTAAAAAAAAAAAGTTGAGGCGTGTATGCATGTCCACCCACCACCGAGTTCCTTTCCATAGAACACTTTCCCCCCACTTGTAACTGGAAGAGTTCTAGTCTTTGTCTAAGAGTTAGTTCAATAACCACTTTAGAAGTTCTTTCCAAACCCTCCTCTTGAGTTGCAGACTTGGTTTCTTTTGTGGCTCTGCATTTCTATCGTTCCCCTCAGGGTCTTTGGTTGCTCCTGTGTACAAATCTGTCTCTCAGTAAACTGTATGTTCCAGAAGGTCAGGGACAGGTATCTTATCCATGTTTATATTCCCGGGGCCCAGCATACTGCCTACATTTTACATCTAGGGCAGTGGTTCT